TATCTTACCTAATGCCTTCATTTGCTGCAGGATGACACAACCACAGCCAAGGTATTCCGCCTATCGGGAAGCAAGCTTCGGTCATGGGATATTGGATATCAAGAACAGAACACATGCCTATTTTGGTTGGCATCGTAACGATGATGGATATGCTGTTGAAGCAGACTCGCTATGGCTTCTTAACAGATACTGGAAACTGGAGGAACCCTCTGTAGCTCTGTCGTGAAATGAGATTGCCTCTTCATAGCATTACTCAAACTGTGTCGACGAACTAGAAGGTTGTGAATTATGAGAGACTACTTGTGAGCAGTGCTATATTCAACAGATCATTTCCAGAAAGTTTTCAATGTTAATTTACTCTTGGAAAGTATGCAAAAATGATGCACTCTCAGCGTGTCATTTATACTTTGGCAGTGATCATATGTGCATATTTAGACTTGTAAAAATATAATGTATTTTGTGCTACTATCCGGTTTTCATTTTCCGGTGGTCTAGAACCTGGATATTTGGATTTGGGGAGCACAAATGTTTTTGTTAAGAGTGGAATAAAGGGTTGTTAGTAGGACTGGAGGTGACTAACAGGGGCGGCTCTGTCGTGAAATTTAATACGAGGCCTAAATTTTTAAAAGGAAGTTAACGATATATTTTTATTTGAAATTTAATCTTCTAGCTTTTTAAGATATAAAGTTGTTAATGATCTTTTTTATAATCGAGTTTTTCTAATAATTCTTTTTCAATTGATATTATAGACAACTCATTTAGTCTTTCTTGAGATATTGTTGAGTTTAGATAAGATATTATAGAGCAATAGAAGTATATAACTATTGAAAGGTTAAAAGTATTGTTGAACACTTAAACTAATAAAATCTTGGAGAAAGAATGTGAGTAAGAATAATAAAGAGAAAGACAAAAATTCGTAGGGGTTTTGAATACGAAGAGACTAGGAAAAAAGAAAGATTAACTTGAACAAAGTAAGAAAGGGAGAGTAAAATTTTTACACGTTATCTAATAAAGGAGTAAAAAGTAAAAAATTGGAACGTTGAAAAACTATCCATCTACCCATTTTTAAGTAAGTCAAATTATTACTTTATNAGTTTAAATATTATTTTTTAAACACCTATAAACTTATTATTTTTTTAAAATGGAGCTCCCAAATTTGGGGCCTAAAGAAAGCATAAGCCTTAGTCCTTACCTCTTAACATTAGAGCCGCCTATGACTAATTGACTATAGACTCAATGGTGATTATAATAAAATTTTCTCATTAATTTATAGGCTAATCAAATTGAAGATCTTTTCTGATTGACATCGTAGGTGAGACATGGATCTTTTCTGATTAACTAATTGACTATACATGCAATGGTGATATTGCAACTTATTAGTCTTCAAGCTAGAATATAACACATAAGCAAAAAAAAAAAAAAAAAAAAAAAAAAAAAATTGTAAGCGCTAATTGATAGAAAATGCTATGTATACAGGAGACGCCTATATTTGAAGTAAGAACTACTGATGGCATAAATGACGTAATAAATGAAAAGGTCTATAGCTGAATAGGAAAACATGAAAAAGACTATAATTTGTATTAGTGTCCATATTTATACTACTTAATCAACCTGATAATTCGGTAAAAATAGCACGGGCTAGCCAGTTTTCGGACCGATAATTTTAAAATAGTCAGGGTTTGCAAAGTCATTAAAAAATAATTATTATTTTACTGCAACACGGACCGGTCCAGCATAATATACTAGAGATTGGTGCACCTGTATATGAACTTACAACATATTATGCTGGAACTCCAACACGCGGAAAGCTCCAGCATAATATACTAGAGATTGGAGCACATGTATATGAACTTCCAGCATATTATGCTGGACCGGTATATTATAATGGAACTCCAGTATATTATGCTGGAATATTTTTCGGATTTTGAGTAGTGTTTTCGTTCAGATTTATCTTTACAAGAAAAGTGGTTAAATTTTGATTATTTTTGAAACTGTGGCTATTTTTCAATTACAACTTGTAAATATGGCTATTTTTTAATTTCTCCCGATAATTCGTAAGTTCCCGAACCACTCCATAAGAAAACGAAAGAAAGTGATAAATAGAAACAGTCAAACCTGGGCCTACAGACCCGCTTTTGTATCTATACCCGGTTTTAAGGTCACAATTGAACCTATACCCACTTTGCAAAATATTTTGCAAGCCTACCCACTTTACGATCAACTTTAAACTTATCGGGTCTGAAGTTAAAAAAATTAGTCTGAAGTGAAAAATTTGCACTTCAGATGCACTTAATACCAAATAGGTCTGAAGTGCAACCAATGGTTTCATGCACTTAAGGCCAATAAGTCTGAAGTGAAAAATTGTACTTCAGATGCACTTAAGGTCAAAAAGTCTGAAGTACAACAAACGTTTTCCTTCACTTAAGGCCAATAAGTCTAAAGTGAAAAATTGCACTTCAAATGCACTTAAGGCCAAATAGGTCTGAAGTGTAACCAATGGTTTCATGCACTTAAGGCCAATAAGTCTGAAGTGAAAAATTGTACTTCAGATGCACTTAAGGTCAAAAAGTCTGAAGTACAACAAACGTTTTCCTTCACTTAAGGCCAATAAGTCTAAAGTGAAAAATTGCACTTCAAATGCACTTAAGGCCAAATAGGTCTGAAGTGTAACCAATGGTTTCATGCACTTAAGGCCAATAAGTCTGAACTGAAAAATAGCACTTTAGATGCACTTAAGGCCAAAAGGTCTGAAGTGCAACAAACGTTTTCCTATACTTAAGGCTAAGGGTGGCAAGTGAGTCGGTCCGGGACCGCAGGCCAGGACCGGTAGGACCGATTTTAATGGGCCTAGGCCGGTCTCGCGGGCCGGTTCTATGCGTTGGGATCGATAGGGACTTGCGACCGTTTGGCCCGCCAAGGGACCGGATCGGTCCTTGGCGGTCCAAACGGTCCCGGTGGTCAAATTTAAAATAAAAAATAAAAAACAGTCGTTGGGCTGTCAAAAATAGCCGTCGGCTATTTACAAAATAGCCATTTAACCCCCCAACTTTGTTTTAACCCCAAACTTTTTATAATTATACTTTTTTTCCTATTTTCAACTATAAATACCCCCTCATTCTTTTATTTTTCTTACAAAATCAATATCAATCTATCACAATCTCTCTCTAATTTTCTTCTATTCTTGCTACTATTGCTTACTTTATTGTTACAATTTGTGAAAAAATTGTGAAGTTAGTGAATTGAAGTCTTCAAGTCTTCAACGATAATCAATTTTCAACAAGTTGTTCGTCAATTCGGTAAACTCGTTCCAACTCTTAAGTTTTAATATTATAGTTTTGTTTGTTTTATTTATTTGCTATTACTTGATTTATTAAGATGACTTCCTTAAAAAAAAATTAGTAAACATAAGGGAAAATTCAAGAGTGGTGAATCTAGTGGTCATGTTGTTCCTCCTCCCCTGCCCCCGGCTCCCCGAACCAAATCTCATATCCGTCCTACACCTGCTATTTTTGATAACGATAATAGTTTATTATAATTTACCGATAATTAATTTTGCCATAATATTGCACCCGGTGAACAACTAGACCATAAATTAATGAATGCTCTTTATTCTAATAATTATAATACTGTTAATGAAAATGATGATGAGGAAATTGATCTTGATGAAACTCAACCGGATGATGATACATCCACTAGTTCTGCTCTTGATGTTAACCTAACTAGTTATAACCCTACTAATCCAAATGATGCCTCATCTAATACTCATGTTACTGCCCCTACTTTTTCTAAACAACCTATCAAACGGACGAAAACATCTCCTGTTTGGCCATTTTTTACTCAACTAGTTCCAGAAAATAAGGCTAAGTATAAAATTTGTGGTACGGAGTTAGCTTTTAAATTTTTTGGATCGCGGGGGGAGATGGGGAGGAACTTTGGCTAGACATATAAAGAAAACACCCTCGAGATAGAATCAGTTATGAACGTCTGAAAGCTTTGGGCGAGGAAAAAAGTGTACCTAGTCCTACTCAGGCTGATCCTAGTACTGACTCAAATCAATTTCAACCGAAAATTAAAACTGTTACCGGTGGTATTTTATATTATGATCCAAAAAAAAGATCGGGAAGAATTGGCAAAAATGGTAAATGTTATGTTCTTACCCTATAGTTTCCCTTCTGACCCTAATTTCAATTATAATTTTTTTTAAAAAAATTAATATTTTTAGCCATTGGGCCCACTTAGCCCGTTTAGCCCGGGACCATGAGTTCGTGGTCCCGGGCCGGTTCCTAGAAAAGAACCGTTTAGCCCGGGACCGTTTGGCCCATTTAGTTAGGGACCGGCTCGAGACCGGGACCAGGACCGTTTGGACCGACCCACTTGACCCATTTAGGGCCCGGACCGGCCTACATGCCACCCCTACTTAAGACCAATAAGTCTGAAGTGAAAAATTGCACTTCAGATGCACTTAAGGCCAAAAGGCCTGAAGTGCAACTAACAATTCAATTCACTTAAGGCCAAATAGGCCTGAAGTGCAGGCCCAGAAACAGAAATTTGTTCTTCGAATAATAATAATTCAATATACGATTTAATATCTAAATCTACTTCAAATGAGCTCAAATTTGAAACATATCCTCCAAATACCATCAAGAACAAACCTCAATCATCAATTTGTCAAAACAACAATAAATCTAACAAACCCATTTTGCAATTAAAAAAAAGAATGAAGTAGAAACCCTAAGCAATAGTAAAAAATAAAGTGTCATAACAGTTCACCACTATAAAAATCATAAACTACCTTTAAATATGTTCACAAACACCATATACAATCACGGTCACCCGAAAAAGAAGAAGAAAGTGGGTATAGGTTAAATGGGGCTACCAAATAGGGCGCCCGTGCAATTAATTTATCCGTAGCCCAAATTATGAATGTAGCCCATATCTTTTACTGCACCGGCCCAACTTCTGGAAATTCTTAGAAACTCTTTCAGTCGTTCAAACTTGTCCGAACTATGCTTTCGTTGTCTGCGGTGCTTGCTTGCCTCCTGGAATCATCAATCTCTGGTAAATTTCATACTCAAATCTCTCCACATTTCCTCAGTAAGTCTTTAACTCTGATTATTTTACATACTCCAATGTCAAAGGAACGAAGTTGAAGCTTGATCCCCTGTAGAATACTAGCCGTTTTTTCTTTTTCAAAAAAAATGTATCATTCGGGCGTCTTTTCTGTACATATTAGGGCAAGATGAGATTAGCATCTGGTTCCCCTAATTGAGGCTATAACTTAGCGTCTTCACTTAAATTGCCACTCAACACTAGAGGCAGAGCCATAATTTTAAGCTTATGTGTTCGGGATTTTAATTGTTTTAAGTTACTGGGTTCTAAAATAATAATTTATACATATTCAATGGATTTTTTAAAATAAATACATGATTTGAACCAAAGCTATTGGGTTCGGCCGAACCCGCACGCAGCTCTCTTGCTCTGTCCCTGCTCAACACTGTCTCCCCTCGAAAGGCAGATAGCATAAGAAAAAGACACTTGATGCTCTGAATACTATGATTCTAACTGAACTCAATCTCTTAGAATTCATAATACACATTTCTCCACATTTCCCCACTAATAGCCTGTTTGGCCAAGCTTATAAAATCAGAGCGTTTTTCAAAAATGTACTTTTGGCGATAAACAGTCTGTGTTTGACTACTTAATTTGAAAAATACTACTTTTGAGCAGTAATTAGTATTTGGTTGAGCTTTTATACCGTATTTTTTAGTATATTTTTCTCAAAAATGCTTTTGGGGAGAAGCTAATTTTTTATGCTTCTCAAAAACTACTGCTCCCGCTCAAAAGCACTTTTTATCCCTCTTAAATCTTGGCCAAACACCTTTAACTTTAGAAAAAAGTACATTTGGCAACAAAAAAAGCACTTTTGGCCAAAAAGAAGCGTGGGCAAATAGGCTATAACTCTTTCACTCTTATTATTTTACATTCTCTTTAGCTGTTCGATTAATGTCGGGGATGGTGAATTGGGCCTCTTTGTTGTACAGATTAGGGCAAGTTGAAAAGCAAATAGCAGAAGAAAAAGGCACTTTCTGCTCTGTTCTAACCGTAAGAATCAGCATGAGTACCCAAGGTATACAATATAATTCTCTCCATCTTTTCTCTTTTCTCTTTTTTTTTTTTTTTTGGATACTAAATTCTAAATTCTTCTAACAGATAGAAAGAGAGCTGATGTTGAAGGGGGCAAACAAGATAGAATCAGTGATCTTCCAAGACATATTTTAGCTAGTATCGTTGAGCTCTTGCCGCCTAAAGATGGTGCAAGAACTTGTGTCTTGTCCAGAAAATGGAGATTTATTTGGGTCATGGTTCCAAGTCTGCTGCTGTATGACCACTTCTTTGATAGCTTAGCAGTACAAACTCCAGCTTTCTTTAAACAAACAGTAGATGAGATTCTCTTACTCCGCCTTGGAGACATTCTGAATTTTGACCTTCAAATTCCAGTAGCACTTTCGACTTCATATGCAGATATCGATAGATGGATGCTTTATGTCCCCAGAAATGGTGTCAAGGAGCTATCTCTTTTACTGCCAGTTTATAGTACTTATAAAAGCATTCTTATGTATTTAATTGTCCAACCCTGACATCTTTGTACTTCTGCAACGGTGTCTTCAAACCACCTAATTCTTTTCTTTGCTTTCCAAATCTTGAAGCCTTCCACCTGGAAGGAGTAACCATTATGCCAACCACACGCACTGAGTGTTGTGTTATCAAAGCCCCCCGTCTCATCTGTTTGGACTTGTTACACTGTGATGGTACTCAATACCTGAACATTATTTCACCATCATTGGAGTTATTGTCTGCTCATGATGTTCACTATCTCGTGCTAAATTGCTTTATGAACTGCAAAAAATTGAGAGTATTAATCCTTAGATATGACAAAGTGGTGGATAATCTGATTCATGATGAAAGATCAACTTTGGAAAAGCTTCTTTTTAGCTTGGCACCTACAATTGAGGAACTTAATTTGGATTCATTTTTCCTCGAGGTAAGAAACAGACAATTTATTTACTTGGATATCTTATAGTGATGTGTTTCTTATTGTTTTATTTCTCCAAAGCTTTGTGGTGCAGATACAGTTCCTAAGATGCGTTCTCGCGCGCTCAACTGCTTGTGGCGTCTATCATTCTATGTGGACTTTGACAAATTCAGTCCAACTTCTGGTGCTCTACAGTTAATTAAGAGTCTCCCCAAATTGAGTGAACTTGATATTACGGTAAGTAATGAAAAATTATGTGGTCATACACTAGATACATGTGTGAGTTTGGTTCATTTTTGCAACTTCATATATGTGAAACTCAGAAGCTCAAATAACTTTGTATTTATTTTACACCATTAGGTCCGTTCTACCAGCGACAATGCTGAAGCAGTTTCAAAATATTTGAACACACCAGCCTGCTTGGACCGATCGCTCAACAAGCTCAAACGTGTGGTCATACGTTGGTTTAAGGGTTCAAAAACTGAACTGCTTTTTATAAAGTTATTGCTTGCTCGCACTCCATCTTTGGTAAGGATCATAATTAAGCCATTGAGAGACTTTTGTTCCTGCGAAGAAAGTAATATCACCACAAAGTTGACGAGTTTCCCGCGTGCATCTCCAGAGGCTGAAATTTTTTATTCCGATGCATGTCTTAACATACCAATCTCAAGTTCCAGCCAACAATTAGGGTAATATTTTTGGACCCTTTTGTTTCCTAAAATATGGTCATATATGCAGGAAACTGTAAAAATAATTTATTTGCCCACATTGGTTATGAAAAGATTTCCAAATTGTTTATAATAGTCGTGAACTACTTTGCTTGTTACTGTAAAGTTTTAAGTTGTTTGCTTGAAGTCTTCCCCAGTACAAGTTTAGTCATTCATGCTTTGCTTCGATTATAGCCAAAGATTCAAAATTGTTGTAACCAAATTGAATCTATTTACATTTTTATGTAGAGGTTTGTCTTCCTTACTATGTCACCACTACGTTTAAGGTTATGGCTTTACAATATGTAGCAAACTAGTAGAGCTTGACTAGCATTGCCCATGATCTCAGTTATAGATTCTTGGTTTGATTCAAGATTTATTAAAAGCTTCCATGAGTAAATCTTGCCGAGTCAGTAAACACCATTATTAAGTTATACTAATTTTCTGATTTACCATAAAATGCACTGGTTCTTTAGCAAAAAATAAATCATGTATCATTGCAAAAAGGTACCCCAAGTACACAAATCTTATCTTTGATGGTGATTCTGCTATAGCTCTCCACCTGCATTGCACAAGAGGACCAATTTTATAGCTAACATATTTTTAAATATTCTTTATTAGCAAAAAAATGATTTTCTAGTGTTCAAGTAATGGATTCGTTGTTGTTAGTTTACAGATATGTATAGTGTAGTCTTGTCCCACATTGGAAGAGGAGTAATATCTCCTTATAGTGTATAGCTATAAATAGGGACCTCTTGTATTGTATTTATCATCCAATATCAATAAGACAATAACATATTTTCTCCCGTGCCTTCTCACATGGTATCAGAGCATTAGTAAGAAAAGATCGTTGTGCGTCATTCCAGCGTTAACCGGGAAGAAAGAACTTAGTCATCGTGCAATTTTTCCGGTGACCTAAGGCTTGTCTAAGTGAAAGTCACTTTCTGTTGGTGTTGTGCCAAAACCAACACCACCACGAGGTAGATCACCCACCGACGACCAACCTCTGAAATTTTATCCGGCAGAAAAGCCGCCACGCTCCTCCACGTGCCGGCAACAACTTTTCCAGCGAGAGTTCCGGCCACTTTCCGGCCATTTTTTGTGAAGTTTCTCCAGGACAGTGTGCTCTTCTCAAAATTCCGAGCCTACCCATCTAATTCAAATCAAATTCTGACCACTTATATATTTTTCCGGCGTGAACAGTGACCTTTCCAAATTGTAGCGACATGGGAACCGATGCTTTAAATAGTCGGATGGTTTTTTTAGCAGATTATATTGAGTTCCTTCAGTATAAAGCATGTAAGCAGACATCTTCTGAGATAGCTTATGTTGTTCAAACAGGTAATAGCGTGACTTGTTTCTCCCAATCTTCATCCCCTGAGTCTTGGGTCATTGATTCAGGTGCATCCGATCATATTTCTGGTAACAAATCTCTTTTCACTATTATTTCGTATTCTCAATCTCTTCCAAAAGTCACAATGGCCAATGGGTCTCAAACCATGGCAACTGCAATAGGTCAAGCAAGCCCACTTTCTTCCTTACCTTTAGATTCAGTCCTTTATGTTCCTGTTAGTTTACAACATGTATATAGTGTAGTATTGTTCCACATTGGTAGAAGAGTAGTATGTCCTTGTATAGTATAGCTATAAATAAGGACCTCTTGTATTGTATTGTTCATCTAATATCAATAACATATTTTTTCCCGTGCCTTTTCACATGGTATCAGAGCAATTGTGAGAGACTTATCGCTGTGCATAAATTCTAGCGATTCCGGGAAAGAGAAATCAGTACTTTTTTAAGGCTGTTTTCTATCTGCTTCATTTCTGTCAGTGTTGTGCAAAATCCAACACCACCACAAGAGTCGTCACTGTCCGGCGACCAAACTCCAGTGAAAAACTCCGGCAGCAGCCTCCTCACGCGCCTCCACGCGCCACCAGAAGCTCACGCGCGTGAGCTCACGCGCCGGCGCGTACGACCACTTCCGGCCATTTTTTGAAAATCTTCCTTCAGAACAGTTGGGT